CTTTTTTCCATAAGTTACCACCTTCTACCTATTATAGTTTCTTCTTTATCTGCCCCCTGCTGGAAAGCCAATCCCCCACACACCCACAAGACAATGGTTTTGGTATCTTGCCCAGGGCATAGAACAGGGACCAAATATGTTTCAATGAAGGAATGAAAAATGCAAAGCATGTTAAGCACTTTTTCTGTGCTAGATGCTCCCAAGCATCTAAACCACCGGTCGCCAACTGGTGGTCCATGAGGTCCTATAGGCTGGCGAACACAGGTTTAAGGAAACCTTTGGAGCAGAGGTCGCTGACCAGCGGTCAGCCAAGTCCAAAAGGTAGGTGACCGCTGCGTCTAAACAATCTCATTTAATCATCACTCCACTCTCACTGAGGGGCACCAGGTGACTTAAGAAGTGAAACTGAGCCAACCTGGAGGCCTGTGGGGTAAACAGAAGCTCAGTGAGGAAAGGCTCACAGAATCAAGCCCACGCCTCAGGGGTGGGAGGCCTCCTCCTGCTCTTCCCAAGGAAAAAATTTCCCAATACCCTCCCTCTCCTTAGGGCCACAGGTCTATCTATTGATGCAGACCCAGAGGTCTTTTTGTTATTGTTTTTAATCCTCACCCGAGGATATTTTTCCATTGATTTGGAGAGAGTGTGGAAGGGAGAGGGAGAAAAGGAGAGAGAGATGTGAGATGGACACATCAATTGGCTGCCTCTCACACAAGCCCTGACCAGGGCCTGGGATTTAGCTTGCAACCAAGGTGCTCTTGACCAGAATCAAACACGGGACCCTTCAGTTCACAGGCTGATGCTCTATGGACTGAGCCAAATCAGCCAGGGCAAGCCAGGGAACTTAAAGTCAAAGGAACAAAGTAACAGACAGAAGGCAAATGTGAAATGGGCCTGGGCAACGTTAGGGAGTGGTGGGGACTGTGGCAGCTCTAGTGGCCAGTCCTAGTTTGACAGGCAGCAAGTGGCTGCTGATTCTGAGATCCAGGCAATTGGCACCAAGTGTGATGGAAAAGGGAGATCAGAAAATGATGATTCTAACAGCAGCACCCATGGGTACATGGGTATTACCAAGCATGGTGGAGTCTTAATCTCTAAATTTTAATCTTAGATATTGACAGCTAATTAAAAACAAAACATTTTAAACGCCAGGCAAATGAAGCAAGCAGGTCTTGGGCCTCAAGGCCACCAATGAGCAACCCCCGATACAGGGCTAAGTTCACTGGGTCATTCCCCCTTGGACCACATTCTTAGAAAACCCACAAGGAGACAATGAAACAGAGCAGCTTGTGCTGACCCCAGGCACATGCCCTCCACACGCTCTTGTTTGTTCCTTGAAACCAACAGGGATATTCACTGCAACAAGTCCTCGGTACAAGGGAAAAAATAGTTTGACCAAATTCACAAAAAGAAGAAAGGAACAGAATTCAAAATAAGGCCCGCCTGCTATCCTTTTAGAACAGGGCTTTGTAGCTGAGGGGCCTTCTCCACATTCCAGAAATAAAAACAAATTAGTTCTGTGAGACCACCGCTTAACCAAAGAAAGGCTTTTTACAACTTTGGTTCTCAGGCCCTGAATTCATGCTTTTCACCCGGGCTATCACATTGCAGGCCTCGGGAGGAGGTTGCCACAGGAGCCAGCTCAGTAGTAGTTGGCAATCACCAAATGCCTGGGTGGGCGGCAGGGAAAGGCAAGGGGCAGAGGGACAGAAGGAAGGTAGACGAAAAAGAGACTCAGGCCTCCTCCAACGCAGAGCCCCTGATTCCTCACGGAAACAACCTCACACAAGAGCCTGTTTCCCGCTCTGCAAAATGAGTTCATAACAGTTCCACCCTCATAAGGCTTAAACGAAGTCCAGTGTGAAATTTGAGAGCACTTTAATTCTGATGAACTTTTGCTGTCTATATGAGAGGAGCTAGATCAATAAATAATGGCCATATGGACCTATTGTGTGCCAGGCACTGCACTAAGTAAGCACTTTCACCACACTAAGTCACTATAGTCTTGATGGACAATCAGCCCATGTCTAGTAGGGGAAATCGAGGGTTGATGAGGTTAAAAACCTGTCCAAAGGCAAAGGTAAATGAAATGGATCGAGCTCTGTAGATACCCACGGGAAGCCTGGGCAATCAGGGAGAAAGGCCCACAGCCCAAGTCTAGCTGATCCAAAACCAGCACCTTTCCGCCACAGTGGACAGAGTAAAGCACCAGACAAAAAAAAAAATTCTGGCCTTGGCCAGTATGCTCAGTGGTTGGAGCACTGGCTCATTCATCAAAGGGTCAAGGGTTTGATTCCCAGCCATGGGCCCCTTGCCTGGGTTCGATCACCAGCCCTAGTCAGTGTGTGGGGGGGAAACAATCAAGCAATGTGTCTCTCTCATGTTCATATTTCTCTCTCCCCCCTCCTTCCTTTCCACTCTCTCTCAAAAAAAAAAAAAAAAAAAAAAATCAATGGAAAAAATATTCTCACCCAACTGCCTGGCTCAGTGGTTGAGCATAGACCTATGAACCAGGAGGTCATGGTTTGATTCCAGTCAGGGCACATGCCTGGGTTGTGAGCTCCATCCCCAGTGTGGGGCGTGCAGGAAGTAGCCAACCAATGATTCTCTCTCATCATTGATGTTTCTATCTCTCTAACCCTCCCCCTTCCATTCTCTCTTTAAAAAAAAAAAAAAAAAATCAATAAAAACTTAGAAAAAAGAAGGAGGAAATGCTGGGAGCAAAACCCCAAGCTTCTGAGAAGGCAGGGGCAGTCAGGCACCCAGCTGGGTTCCTGCCAGCTTGGTGGCCTTGAGCAAACAGAAAGTCCTTTCTGCGCCTCCCTGATCATCTCTTAAGTGGGGATAAGAGAACCTCCACTCTACTTGCTCATCATGGGAATCAAGATACTGAATCAAGAAAGAAGTCAACCTGGCACCTACTGAATGAATGAACATTACTTCCTAGCACTGATAACAATAATAACAGCAATAATAACAACTATGATATCATTTGGCAGCCACAGTCACAAATGAGTCCTTCCTGGAATGGAAATGTGGCCGCCCATCTGAGAAGCAGAAAAGCAAGAGGCTAAAGAAGAAAGAAAGGGAGATTCAACTGCCGTTAATGACCTCAGGACCGTTTCTCATTCATCAGCTTCCTGAATCCCTGAAACAGCCCAGAAAGTAGAAGTTGCCCACTAGACAGATAAGCAAACTGATGCTTCTCAGGGCTACCCAAGGAAGACCTTATCTCAGCTCTTTCCATGAGGGCCTGATCAGAGGAGGAGTACCTTTTGTCCTGGCCAGTATGACTCAATGGTGGGAGCATCAGCCAGTGCACCAAAGGGTCACAGGTTCAATTCCCGGTCAAGGGCATGTACCAGCCTAGTGGGTTCAATCTCAGCCCAGTAGGAGAGGGTTCAGGAGGCAACCAATCAATGTGTTTCTCTCACATCGATGTCTGTCTCTCTCTCTCTCTCCCATCCTCCTCCCTTCCCTTCCACTCTCTCTAAAAACCAATGGAGCCGAAACCGGTGTGGCTCAGTGGATAGAGCGTCGACCTGTGGACTGAAGAGTCCCGGGTTTGAGTCCAGTCAGGGGCATGTACCTTGGTTGCGGGCACATCCCTGGTGGGGAATGTGCAGGAGGCAGCTGGTCGATATTTCTCTCTCATTGATGTTTCTATCTCTCTCCCTTCCTCTCTCTAAAAAAAAAAAACCAATAGCGGAAACAAGTTTGGCTCAGTGGTAGAGCATCAGTCTGCGGACTGAAAGGTCCCAGGTTTGATTCCGGACAGGGACATGTACATTGGATGCGGGCACATCCCCGGTAGGGGGTGTGCAAGAGGCAGCTGGTGGATATTTCTCTCTCATCGACGTTTCTAGCTTTCTATCTCTCTCCCTTCCTCTCTGTAAAAAATCAATATCCTTAAAAAAAAAAAAAAAAAAAAAAAAAAAAAACCAATAAATATATTTAAAAATAAAAATAAAAACCAATGGAAAAAATATCCTCTGATGAGGATTAGTGATAAAAAGGGGGGAAAAAAGAAAAAAAAAAAGTCCCTTCCCAGGCTCCAAGAGAGCCCACAATTGGCAGGCATTAGCTTGGGGGCTGGTCCCTGTCTTCCAGGGCCCTGGAAATCCTGACATGGTCCAGGAAAGAATTCTGTAGAAAGTTCCCCCTGGGGTCCTACTTCCAACTGAGAAGAGAGTAGTTTAAGTCTCATACTTCAGCACCCTTCTCTTCCTATGCTCCCATCACCCCCTGCTACAGAGGCTGACCCAGACACTCAGCGGCAGTTAGGGCACTTAGGCAGACTAGGAGGACAGACAAAAAAATGAACTTGGAAAAGAGGAGCTAATGTTTTCCAGGGACCACGCTGAAGAGTCAGTCCGAGAGCCAGACAACAGGGTTCCCTAGGGTCCAAACCACTAGTCAGACACAGAGGTCAGCTGGGGTAACCCAACTGCGGGATAGCTGTTAGTCTGTGAGGGGCACGGATGGGCGGCCAGATCGCACAGGTGACCCTGGACAGCTAGCTAGACAGCAGGGAGCTGCCCTGCAGAACTGGACAGATGGACAGCCAAATGGTGGTAGCAGGGAGGCCTATCCAGGTTAGAATCAGCCAACCAGACGGCAGTGACTGCTCCAGATAAATGAACAGCCAAACAGACGGCAGGGGTCGGCCCAGCAGATAATCTAGGTGGCACGTTTGGGACAGAGAAGGGAGACCTCCCCCAGCCTCACTAGCAGCCAGATGGTAGAATTCACCCACTAAACCTGGGGACCCGGGAGTCAACAGGAATCCACCGCACATCCCGGCCCACGCCTCCCAGCCTGTAAGACTCCCCCTTCAAGGAGCCCTGGGCTCAGTGTCCCCCAGGGCCCGCCTCCCTGCCCCTGACCCCGTCGCGGGCACGCAAGCGCCGCAGTTACGCTGGAGGCGCAGGGCGCGCCATTCCCCGTCCGCCCTCCGCGCCCGGGGCCACCGCCCGCCGGCCGCCGCCACCGCGCTCGCTCACCGGCCCACGAAGTTCTCGAGCACCGAGCTCTTGCCCGCGCTCTGGCCGCCCACCACAGCGATCTGAGGCAAGTCCAGGTGGCAACTCTGACCGATGGAGCTGAAGGCGTCCTGGAGCTTGTTGACCAGCGGGATCAGCTCTTCCATCCCGCGATTGCCCATGGCGCCGGCCGCCCCGGCCCGAGCGCCCAGCGCTCCCCGGCTGCCCCCGTCCCTCAACGATGCCGTCCCGCGGCGTCCGCGGCCGTTGCTCCCCGCCCGCCCGGGCCTCGGCGCGACGCCCGCTCCCGGCTCGGCCTCACGGTCGCCACTTCATCCGGTTCTCAGGCGACACCCGACCCGAGCGACCTCCCGCCCGGACCCAAGGCCCTCGCGCCACCCGATTGGCCAACTGCGCTGCCACTCATGTAAACCAGCCAATGAGAACGAGGCACGGACTTAAGGCGGAGGGACCCTTCTTCCTGGGGACCTCCTCGCGGACTCATTGGACGTTAAGAACTGTCGCTGTTATGCTTGGGCCAATACCAGCGGGTAGCGACACGTCAAAACTGGTAGGTGGGTGTTTCGGAAAAGACATGTTGGCTCCGCCTACTAAGGGGAGTTCCCGGATAGCAGGAAAAGCACCATTTTTATTGGTAGAGAGACCCTCCAATCAACAACGCTAGCCAATGATGTTAGAGATCGATTTTTTTAACACTGGTTTGTCATTTGACGCAACCTAGTTCCCTAAAAATTTCTCATTGGCTCATATAAATACCATAATCTCCGAATCTTTACTCTGATTGAGAACTGTATCTGTCAATCAACCTCTCGTTCTTGCTCGTAATTATTTTGTCTATTAAGTCTTCTTCCAGTGGCGATCATCACGAGTTTCTGAGCTCTAAAGAAAACTACACGTCCCAGAATGCATGTCGGTACGGGCTTGCAAACCAGCTCTCGGCGCGGGGTTCCAATATGCTTTGAAAGTGAGTGCTGATGTTACGGATTCCTAGGAAGTGGCATTGTTTCCCACCCATATTCCTATATAAAGTCACACCACTATGCCTTTTTAAATGCTGTGCCCTCTCCTAAGAATACCTTCCTTTCACGTCTTGTCTTGATGAGGCTAACTACATGAACTCTTCAAATTTAGCATATCATGATTTTTGAGTACTTAATAAAACTCAACTGATCCTCTGCCCATAAAAAGACATCTTAGGCCAAAACCGGTTTGGCTCAATGGATAGAGCGTCGGCTTGGGGACTGGAGGACCCGGGTTAGATTCCGGACAAGGGCATGTACCTTGGTTGCGGGCATATCCCCAGTAGCAGGTGTGCAATGACTCTCTCTCATCGATGACTCTCTCTCATCGATGTTTCTAACTCTCTATCTCTCTCCCTTCCTCTCTGTACAAAAATCAATAAAATATATTAAAAAAAAAAAAAAAAAGATGATAAAGCTACCTGTCCCATGTGGTAGATGCAATTTGTTTAAAAAAAAAAAAAAAAAGACATCTTAGGAAAAGAAGTAATTTGATTCTCTGATGCATAGATGCACCAGAGAGAAACTGCGGAGTTAAAAGAATGCTGAAGCAACCCAGTAAGGAGTCAGGAACAGGTTTCTGCCTTGACCAGAGTAGCAGAAACCTGGAAACACCCAGTTAACCCAGTTAGGGTGTTTCCCTGGAGCTAAATAAATGCTATGTGGCAGCTGTAAAAGAGATAAGGAAGTATCATGTATTGACATGTAAACAATTTGAAATATGCTGAGGAAAAAAGCAAGGTACAAAACTGCATGTAAAGGTCACGGACATTCATGAAAAATATGTACACATGGAAAGTTTATGAAAAAATACACAAACTGACCAGTTGAATTTTTATGCCATTTGAATGGTGGTCCTACACATGTATTACTTTTGCAATTTAAAATCCCTTATCTTCTAAGTACACCAGCTCTGTAATTGGCCATATCAGGGTTAAATCCTGGACCTGTTTATTTGCTGGATGACCAAGGGACTTCATTTCCCTGAAACTCAGTTTTCTCATCTGTAAAATGGGGACAGTCACTATTCATGCATCATAAAATAGTAAGAATTAAATGCACATTACAACCATTTAGATAGAACAGGTCCAGGCCGGGACCGGTTTGGCTCAGTGGATAGAGCGTCGACCTGCAGAGTGAAGGGTCCTGGGTTTGATTCCGGGCAAGGGCATGTACCTTGGTTGCGGGCACGTCCCCAGTGGGCGCTGTGTGGGAGGCAGCTGATCGATGATTCTCTCTCATCAATGTTTCTAACTCTCTATCCCTCTCTTCCTCTCTGTGAAAAATCAATAAAAAATATATGAAAAAAAATAAAGTGCATGTTTCACGAGTCGCATGCAGCCCATCAAGCTGGCCAGGGTGACCAAGGTGCTGGGCAGGACCGGCTCCCAGGGACAGTGCACACAGGTCCGCGTGGAGTTCATGGACGACATGAGCCGCTCCATCATCCGCAACGTGAAAGGCCCTGTGCGCGAGGGCCATGTGCTCACCCTATTGGAGTCCGAGCGAGAGGCCCGGAGGCTGAGCTGAACTTGTGTCTGGGTCCTGGCTGGCTGGCTGGGTGAACACAGAGCCCACGGGGAAGATGTGCCACTGTTAATAAAGTGTTTGTGTAAAAAAAAAACAAAAAAAAAACAGGTCCAGGCACAGTGTAAGCATCTGCTAGATCACACCTATTATCATTATCATTGTGTTTACTGTCAGCAAGATTATGCCACATGTTTGAAGAGTCAAGGCCAAGGGCAGGAGCTCTGGAGCCAGGCTACTACTTTCTCAGTGGTGACCTTGGGTAAGCTACTTCCTCTCTGTGGGCCAGTTTACTGACTTATAAAAAGGGGGAGGACAGGACTGCTGACCCCCGAGGGATTAGGAGGCCTGGGCCACAGGAAAAGGAATGCACTCCGCCTCTGGAGTACTTCCTAATACTGGGCTGAGACATGGATTCCAGATACCAGCTGCTGCTGCTGCTATGGTTACTAGTTATTACAATCAATGTGCGATGAGGGACACTGACCACAGGGACACTCAGACAAAGAAGGGGGACCAAGATAGGCCACCGCCCCAAGAAAGAACAGACACACTCTAAATTATAAAAAATCCAACCCTTCAATATCTTCCATCCCCTCCCACCCTCCCTTCATTGGGTCAACTCAATGAGATCCCCACAGAGGCCAGGGCTTCAGTGGCCCAGGTGGGATAGAGGGTGGGGTCCCCATACATGGTGTCCATGAAGTCCCGCACAAACTCAGGAAAGCGTTTCTCCATGATGCTGGCACGCAGGGCTCCCATCAGCTGCAGCTAGGGGGTGAAAGTGTCAGTGTCAGCACCTGCACCCAGGAGACCCCTCTCCCACCCCAGCCTGTCCTCCCAGACCATGGGCCCACCTGGTAGGCGATGTTGTGAACGGTGAGGTGGTGCAGGGCTGCAGTGTTGTCGCTGTGAAGTAGTGCATGCAGGAAGGCACGGCTGTGCCTGGGGACAGGAAGTCAGGGCTGAGCAGTGTAGGGTCCTGCACCCCTCCACTCCTTCCCCAGCCTCCAGCCCCATCCTTCCCTACTTCTGGCAAGTGGGACAGGCACACTTAGGGTCTATGGGGCGGAAGTCCTTCTGGAACTGCTTCTTCTTCAGCTGCAGGTTCCCCGTAGGCACCAGGGCAGAGCCAAAGCGCTGAAGGAGGAAAGGGGTAGGGAAGGCAGGTCAACTGCCAGGTCTTCACCTTTTCTGGCCCCACCCCAACCCTGGCCCATCCACAGGCTCACCCCGACTACCCACTGCCCAAGGCCTCACCGCTGTCCTCGTGGGGAAAACGCAGTCGAACATGTCGCATCCAAGAGCCACGCAGACCACCAGATCAGTGGCATAGCTGGGGGCGGGGCCAGGGGGGGTGGAGGGGAGCAGAGAATCTCTCAAGCCCTGGTCATACAACCAGACCCGCTTCCGGAACTCAGACTCCTCCTAGACTGGGACCTTCACAGCAGTGCCCAGCAGAGGGCCATGTCCTTAGTCCCCTCCCAGGCAGGGCTGTGTCCTTTCCCCTAACACACATCGGGGGAGGGGGGGTTTCAGGATCCTCAGAAATCCGCAATTCCACGGGTACAGCTGTTTTCCCTGCTTTGGGACATACCCAACGCCCATCAGGTATCGGGGCTTGTCCTTGGGCAGCCTCGAAGTGCTCAGTGCCACCATCTTCCAGAACTGGTCCTTGCTCTCACCCCCGCTCAGTCCCCCGATGGCAAAGCCGGGCACGTCCCTCTTGGTCATCTCTGGGGGTACAGGGTAAGGTGAGGGGCAACCAGGCAAAAGGGAATGCTGCTCCTTCTCTTCTTCCTCCTCCTCCCCCTCATCCTCTCTGCCCCATTTCTTCTCCCCCTTCATCTCTTTGGCCATAGCCTCGGCTTTAGGCCTCAGTCACCCTTTCCCTGGGCAACACTTCCTCATGGGCCTCTGCTTCCTGCCTACCAGTTTTCCTTGGTTCCCCATTGGTTCCTGTCACTCTCCCACTCAGCATCCCTCCATGACTTCCTAGCCTCTCAATGTATCAATGAATGCTGTAGGTCCTAGAGCTCAAGGCCTGGTCCAAATCCCAGCTCCATAATATCCAAACTGTCTAGCTTTGGGTAAGTGACTTAAGAGTTCTTTGCCTTAGTTTTCCCTTCTGCAACCTCAGGAACCAACAGTTCCCACCTTATAGGATGGTTATGAAAGCTCAATGGGTTTCCTAGGCTCAACCTGTAAACCAGGAGGTCACAGTGTGATTCCCTATCAGGTCACATGCCCAGGTTGCAGGCTTGATCACCAGCAGGGGGTGTGCTGGAGGAAGCTGATCAATGATTCTCAAATTATAATTTATGTTTCTATCTCTCTCTCTCCCTCTTCCTTGCTCTCTGAAATCAATAAAAATATTAAAATAATAATAATAATAATAATAATAATAATAATAATAGCCGAGACTGGTTTGGCTCAATGGATAGAGCGTCAGCTTGGGGACTGAAGGACCCAGGTTCGATTCCGGTCAAGGGCATGTACCTTGGTTGCGGGCATATCCCCAGTAGGGGGTGTGCAAGAGGCAGCTAATCGATGACTCTCTTTCATCGATGTTTCTAACTCTCTATCTCTCTCCCTTCCTCTCTGTACAAAATCAATAAAATATATTTTAAAATAATAATAATAATAATAATAACTCAATGGGGGGGAAAAAAACTCAATGGGTCAACCTGGCCAGTCAGTGTCACTAAGTGGTTAGAGCACCGGCCCCCACACCAAAGGGTCGCAGGTTCCATTCCCGGTCAAGGGCACGCACCCAGCCCTGCTCCAGGGCATGCAGGAGACAAACCAATCAATGTGTCTCACATCAATCGCTGTCTTTCCCCGATTCCCTCACTTAATGGAAAAAACATCCTCAGGTGATTAACAACAACAAAAACCTCAATGGGTCAATCCATGACCAGCACTTGGCACAGTGAAGGTGAACACCAAAAATGGATGGCTATTGGAAATGCTATTATTCTACAAACATTCTACTTCATTCTGCTTCTGAGCCTTTGCTTAAGCCGTTCCTTCCACCTAGAGAAACCTCTCACCCACTAACAACCACTGCCTGAGCATGCCAGCCCGTGTGGGGCCCTCGGCGACGTGACAAACCCACTGAACATGGCTCTACCTTCGAGGCAGGCAGCCCGGAGATCAGCGTCCAGCCCACCCTGGATGATAGCAAACAGATTCTGCTTGTCTTGCCTCCGATGGGCTGCAATGCACCGGTCTAGCCAGCGGATTGATCTGCAACAGGATCAATCAGCCATTTGGGCCTGGTGAAGGACAGGGAGACCAGGGCTGGAGGATCAGAACCCCTCCCCTAAGGTATTCCTGCTCACACACACACCTGTACATGGCCTCCTCCACACGTGGCCCCGTCACAGTGCTGCTGACCACGTCATCTAGCTGCATGATGATGTCTGAGCCTGGGGGGGGGGGGGGAGAAGAGGTTGGAAAATGGAATACTGTCACTAGGAAAGCCCCAACCTGTTGGAGGTAAACTGGACGCCAAAAGTCCTTCCTTGGGTCTTGCTGACTCCCACTTAATACCCCAACCTGTTTGTACAGCAGCTAGAGGGAGCTTCCAAAATGCCTTCTCTGTTCTTGCCTCCCTCAGCTAATCCCAGTCTTCCCCTGATAACCCCTTCCCTGGAATATAGAATAAATTCCCACTTCTGCAAATTTACCCTTCAAGAACAAAACATTGTGCCTACAAAGTCATGTGTGGCCACAACAGCAAGATGGGAACCCAAGCGCCCATCACCAGGGACCTGGTTAATAAACCACAGTCCAGTCCTTCACAAAGGGCAAGCGTCCACAGCTCCCACAGACCTTCCCGCCACTCCCAAATCCGGACACTCTCAAAACCAAAGGCTTTTTCTTGCGTTTATGATACACTCACTTGGTAGCAAAACCCAAGATGGCTATAATCCTTTAAAAAATCCAATGTAGCATAAGGATTCATATAAAGTGCTAATCAATAAAAGTGAAGTGTATACCCTGTGGCCTAGTAATTCCACTTCTGGATATATGCTCAGAAGAATTAAAAGCAGAGTCTTGAAGAGATATTTGGGCAGCCATATTCACAGTGTTATTCACAAGAGCTAAAAGGTGAAAGCAACCCAAGTGTCCATCGACAGATGAACAGGTAAACAAAAGGTGGTACAGACATACAATGGAATATTATAAAGCCTTGGAAAGGAGATTCCAACACATCTTACAACAGCATGGATGAACCTTGAGGGTATTATGCTAAGTGAAAAAGCCAGTCACAAAATGACAAATACTGTATGAGTTCACTTATATGCAATCCCTAGAGTAGTCAAATTCTCAGAGTAGTGCCAGAGGCAGGGAGAGAGAAGAATGTGGAGTTATTGTTTAATAGGGACAAAGTCTCGGTTTTGCAAGATGAAAGGAATTCTGGAGTTGGATGATCTGGATGTTTGCACAACAATGTGAGGGTTCTTAATGCCATAGAACCTGACACTTAAAAATGGTTAAAATGGGAGTGGGCGAAGCAAGGAACAGGCAGCTGTATGTTCACTGCAACCATCTCCCATGGCCGCATATTGCACGCCTGGGCGTTGGCCTCAGGCCTGCACCCACCTATTGTGGAACTTGCTTACAGCACTAGTGTGACACTAATGCACCAGGCATCATGGGGGCATGTGGATGAGATAAGGGGCTACACTGAGCAGCTCATCCACAGTGGAAGGCTGGGAAACACCAACAAACAAGCCATGCCTTTCTCTCACTCACAGAAAGACTTGATCCCCAAGTTGTTTCAAGTACTGGCCCCTCAGTACCAAGGTCAGAATGGAGACTACAGAGAATGCTGCAGATCCCAAATGGGAATGAGTAGGATCAGGCCAAGATGGCAGCGATCGGGTAGAAAGAGAATTGTCTCTGGCAGAGACAAAAGACTTATTCTCCTAAACCGGCTACTTCAGGGCTGTGACAGGACCAAGTAGCAAGCATCCACAACTCCCACAAACCTCAAACTCCAGGGATTTAACGGCAGCCAAATGTTTTGTAGTCCTTATCAGTGCCCATGATCACAGACCTTTGAATCCCTTAATCTCTGAGAACTAAAGCTAGAAATAGAGTTTTTATGGAGCATAGAACCATCTGGGGAGCCAGATAACCATGTCTTTGCACAACAGATCAAATTCCCTGTATGAAAAGAAATAGCAATAATTTGTTTTAATTTAAAAAATAATTGGCCCTAACCGGTTTGGCTCAGTGGATAGAGTGTCAGCCTTTGGACTGAAGGGTCCCAGGTTCGATTCTAGTCAAGGGCCTGTACCTTGGTTGTGGGCACATCCCCAGTAGGAGGTGTACAGGAGGCAGCTGATCAATGTTTCTAACTCTCTATCCCTCTTCCTTCCTTTCTGTAAAATTTTTAAAATATATTTTTATTGATTTTTTTACAGAGAGGAAGAGAGAGGGATAGAGAGTTAGAAACATCGATGAGAGAGAAACATCGATCAGCCGCCTCCTACATCCCCCCTACTGGATATGTACCCGCAACCAAGGTACATGCCCTTGACCGGAATGGAACCTGGGACCTTTCAGTCCACAGGCCGACTCTCTATCTACTGAGCCAAACCGGTCTCGGCTAAAAAAATATTTTTTAAAAAATAATTGAAGGGTACTGCTCCAGATACCACTGAGATGCTGTGTGTGCAATAAATGGGGCTTGCTGGCCCCAGTCTGGTAGCTCCGTTGGTTAGAGTATCATTCCCTTACGCCAAGGTTTCAGGTTCTATCCCTAGTCAGGGCACATATAAGAATCAACCAATGAATGCATCAATGAGTAGAACAACAAATTGGTATTTTTTTCTCTCTCTCTAAAAAAATCAATCAGTAAATAAAATACATGAGGCTTCTTATCTTTCTAAAATGTGAAAATTCTTGGCCCCAAGAACTTCAGGGTAGGAACTCTCCATTTCTATGTTATATGTTAGAAAAGCTTAAGTCTCAGGTATAATTACTGTATTTTCCGGCGTATAAGACGACCCCCTACTTTTACAGTTAAAACAGGTTTAGGCCTATATTTGCTGTATAAGACTACCCCCCACTTCTGAGGCAACACCAGTTCTTTTTTTAATAGACCGCCTCTCTGACTCTGGCCAATCTGAGCAGGCTTTTTACTAGAACACAGTGTAGCTTCGGGTACAGAACATGTATAATTTGCATGCATAAAAAGCCTGCTGGAGTAGTCTTATACAGCAAATATAGGCCTAAACCTATGTTTTAACTGTAAAATTAGGGGATCGTCTTATACACCGGAAAATACAATATAGTAAAAAGCATAGTATACTACACTAGCCAAAGATGGGCAACTTGACAATCAATAAGGATTGATCCAATTGCAATGGATTAAGACACATCAAATACATTTAAACCCATGAATTCATGGTGATTCCAAAAATCTAAATATTGGTTTGCCCCTACTAGAGAATGCTAAGTAATCAACTGATGAAAAATAAGGAAGAAATAAGGAAATAAGGAAAAATAATGAATCCCAAGTTTCCTACATGAACTAAACTATTTGGTCTCCCAGGAGTAGATTAGAGATTGTTTTCTTTACACAAGTAATCTGGATAGTAAATTAGAATGAATGACAGAATTAGAACATCACCATTTTGCAACTCCTAATGACGTAATAGACCCAGGTAAAAAGCATGGATGGTTCATGGCACCCCCTAACAGAAATATACATGGTGAAGCTGTCTTGCTAAAAGGAACAATTTGAATCTGGTTCAAACCTCTAAATCCAAGAAACAACCTACAAAAAAATGTAGGTGACAGAAAAAACTGTTATTCAATACCACAGGGAAGTGGTCAGGGTAACACCACCAGGCAAAGAAACTAGTTTCTTGCCCTAGCCGGTTTGGCTCAGTGGATAGACACCATCAGCCTGCAGACTGAAGAGTCCTGGGTTCGATTCTGGTCAAGGGCACATGCACAGGTTTCGAGCTCCAACCCCAGTAGGGGCCATGCAGGAGGCAGCCGATCAATGATTCTCTCTCATCATTGATGTTTCTCTCTCTCTCTCTCTCTCTATCTCTCTATCTCTCTCTCTATCTCTCTCTCTCCCTTCCTCTCTTGAAATCAATAAAAATATTTTTTAAAAGAGATTATGATTAACTTTATGCCAGGAAAGTTGAAATAAAGTTCAAGAAATGGCCAAATTCCTTAAAAAATCCAACTTACCAAATCTGATCCAAGACAAAACACAAAATCTGAATAGCCCTATCAACATGCTAAATTGAATTCATTGTCAAAACCAGAAAAAAAAAAAAAAGAAAAGAAAAGAAAAAACCTCCACGCTCAGGAGGCTTTACAGCAGAATTTTATGAAATATTTAACTTAACGGCCATGACGTGATGATGGTTGAAACTGGATGACAGGTAGATAGTGTTGTATCTGATTTGGCATATACTTAAAAGTTTGCATAATTTCTTTTTAAATGCAAGAGCCCTAGTCAGGCAGCTGAGTTGGATAGAACCTTGCCCAGATACACCTGGGTTGCAGGTTCCATCCTGATTAAGGCACACACAAGAATCAACCAATTCAGCCAAAACCGGTTTGGCTCAGTGGACAGAGCGTGTTTGCGGACTGGAGGGGGGTCCCAGTTCGATTCCAGTCAGGGGCATGTGCCTTGGTTGCAGGCCCATCCCCAGTAGGAGGTGTGCAGGAGGCAGCTGATGAATGATTCTCTCTCATCGATGTTTCTAACTCTATCTCTCTCTCTTCCTCTCTGTAAAAAATCAATAAAATATATTAAAAAAATAAAAAAGAATCAACCAATTCAACCAATGAATGCAACAAATTAATGTTTCTCTCTCTCTTTCTCAAATCAATAAATGAAATTTTAAAATAAAATACATTTTTTTTAAAATGATAATGTTTTCTTTTTGTTCTTTTAATCCTTACCCTAGGATAATTTTCCATTGATTTTTAGGAAGAGTGGAAGAAAGAGGGAAAGACAGAGAGAAACATTGATGTGATAGAACCACATAGATTGATTGCCTCCTGCACGGGCCCAGATCGGGGGCCCAGGCTGGGAAGAGCCTGCAACCAAGATACATACCCTTGATCAGAATTGAACCTGGGACCCTTCAGTCCATATGCTGACGCTCTATCCATTGAGCTAAACCAGTTAAGGCTGTATATTTTTGTTTGTTTGTTTGTATTTTGGATTTCAAAGAGAGAAAGGGAGAGGGGGAGAGAGAGAGAGAAACATTAATGATGAGAGAGAATCATTGACTGGCTGCCTCCAACACACACACTTCTGGGGATCAAGCACAAAACCCAAGCATGTGTCTCTTCCCCCCCCCATAATCGAACCCTAATCTCCTGATTCATGGGTCAATGTTCAACCACTGAGCTACACTGGTCAGGCTAAAAAAGTTTTATTGCAAGGTACAGAAAGAATAGCATGCTCTCATAATGAGAAAAAAATAGATTTGAACTTGCTTGTATCTATATCAACTGGGGAAGAATACTCAAAAAATTGAAACAGTGGTAGCCTGTGGAAGTAAAGGAGATAGAGAGAGGACAGGCGTGGGAAAAGCACTGTTTTCTGTACACATTTTTATACAGAAATTTATACAAAATGTATTCTTGTTCAATGTTTTTTTTTTCTTTAAAGAACAAATCAAAACTCAGGAGGCCCTGCAGGACCCACTCAAGTCACCTCCCTATCCTCACGTCCCACTCTCCCCTTCCAGGCTCCAGTGAGACACATCTGCTTTCTCCTTACACTCTTCCAGCATGCCCATCTTAGTCCTGCCTCAGGCCCTCTGCACTGGTTTCATTCTTTGGACATCTGGTTTATCTCTTCTCATCCACAGGTTTTAGGCCTAGGGCTGTCCTCCTTGAGACAGGCCATGTACTCGGCCTCCATGGTCACAGTCCCAAATTTATATTTACAATAGGGGCCTGGTGCACAGACTCGTGCACATTGAAAGAAAATTAATTGAAGGTGACTGGTGGGGCGGGACTGGACCAGACAGGTAAGACACACCCTGGAGCCAACCTCCGTGGTCCCTCCCTGCCGGCTGCACTTGGGCTCCAAGACGTCTGCAGAGTGAGCGGGGTCCCTCCAGTAGGTGGGGCCCCTCGGCCTGGCCTGCAGCGATCAGGCCAGAACCAGCAGTCCTACATCCCCCGAGAAGTCCTGAAGTACAAGAGGGCACTCTGCAAAGTTACTGTCGCTCGGCATTGAGTATCTGCTCCATGATGGTCAGTTTGTGTCATAGCTACCCATGCGACAGTCAAGCTTAGGCTTTTATATATATAGACTAGAGGCCCAGAGCATGAAATTTGGGCATGGGGGGTCCCATCAGCTCACCCTGCACCCTCTCCAATCGGGACCCCTCGGGGAATGTCCGGGGCTACTGACTCCTAACTGCTCACCTGGCTGCCAGATTGCCCCTACCTGCCCCCTCTGCTGGCCTGGTTGCCCCCAACTGCACCCCCTGCCAGCGTGGTCGCTACACACAGCCTTCTGTTCAGTCATTTGGCAGCCCCTCACTGCCCCCCTTTGCCAGCCTGGTCACCCCACACAGCCCACTGCTCAGTCATTTGGTCAGACCTCACTAACTCCCCTGCCGGCCTGGTCACCTCACACAGCCTGTTAGGTTGTCCATTCAGTTGTTTTGGTTGCAACAGTCACTTGGGCTTTGATAGATATAGATATAGATGACATAGATGTAAATATAGATTATAGATATAGAGATATAGATATATAGATATATATGTGCCTTTAAGAAAAAATTTAATAACTCATTTGAAAAAAATAATACACATGGTTCCAAACGTTCAAAGTACCCCAAAATTTTAAAAAGTAAAACAGAACTGAAACTGGTTTGGCTCAGTGGTAGAGCGTCGGTCTGCGGACTGAAAGGTCCAGGGTTCGATTCCGATCAAGGGCATGTACCTTGGTTGCAGGCACATCCCCGGAACAGGGTGTGCAAGAGGCAACTGGTCGATGTTTCTCTCTCATTGACGTTTCTAGCTCTCTCTCTCTCCCTTCCTCTCTGTAAAAAAATCAATAAAATATATTTTTTTAAAAAGTAAAACAGAGCCCTGGCCAGGTGGCTCAGTTGGAGTGTCCTCCTGTACACCAAAAGGTTGGGGGTTTGATCCCCAGTGGGGACACTTCAGAGGGGTAAAACCTCGCTGTTTATAATAGATGTTTCTCTCTCTCTCTACCTTCTCTAAAAATCAACAAAAACATATCCTCAGGGAAGGATGTAAGGGGAAAGATGTCTTTCTGTGGTTTTGTTTCTTCATACCACACATTCTACCTGCAGTTTTCCCCCTAATTATGACATTCTCACTAGTGCCCGTCTCCCTGTAGACTAAGTGCCATGGATGAGGTAACACTCTGCCCTCTGACTGTGCGTAGGAGCTAAAGGACCCGTATACGTGAAGGGACTTGGAAGCGCCATTTGGTTGGAAGATGGGAAGGTTTGAGCCCATGTTTCCATAGCACTTTACACGATGGAGAAAATGCTCATTGTCCTCATCAAGGAAATGGGGATACTGATGTAGATGGTAGGGGCCTAAAGCCTCCCAACCCTCTGTGGATGCCATGATTTCAACATATCTTTGCCCAATTAATTTGCAGTTTAAGAATAATAACAGCAATAAGGAATATTAAAAAAAAAAAAAAAAAAAAAACACGACAGGCCCAAACCAGTGTGGCTCAGTGGATAGTATCAGCCTGCAGACTCAAGGATCCCGGGTTCGATTCCTGTCAAGAGCATGTACCTTGGTTGCAGGCACATCCCCAGTAGGGAGTGTGCACGAGGCATCTGATCCATGGTTCTCTCTCATCAATATTTCTAACTCTCTATCCCTCTCCCTTCCTCTCTATAAAAAAAATCAATAAAATATACTTTTAAAAAAGAAAAGAGAAGAGAAGAAACAACAGGCCAGTCACTGTGCAGAGATTTACCAACATTCCATCATGAATCTTGTGAACTACCTGCATTTGAGTTGGCCCAACTGCAGCTCAACGGGTGTGACTTGCCCTAAAGGCACACAAACCTATAGGGACCGGCCTGCCTCGCCTCTCCCCTGGAAAGGCAGGGGTGGGGCCGCTCCCCGCGATCTGCTCACCCAGCGCGTTCTGGATCTCCACGGACCTCTCCGGGCTCAGAAGGGTCTCGTCGCCGTCGTAGGGGGAGCGGAAGCGGACGCCCTCCTCCGTCACCTCGGACAGGGACACCAGGGACACCATCTGGAAGCCGCCGCTGTCCTGGGGGGACCCACCGCGGGGCAGTCAGGAGAGGGGTCAGGCGAGACTCCCCTCCAAGGAGCGCCCTCGCGCCCCGCGCCCCGATCCCACCTCACCGTCAGCAGATTGTGGGGCCAGTTCATGAAGCCGTGCAGGCCTTGGGCTTTCTGGATCAGCTCCGGGCCCTGGGGTGGAGGGTGAGGGGGGCGAAGAGTCCTGTGCGGGGTGAGCGCCACGCGGGGAGCCCGTGTGGGGGGACAGGGATGGCCACACTGGGTCCCCGCCGCTCCCTCAATCACGGCGCCAGGCCTGGCCCCGGGGGGCGCTCCATGGTGTTTGTCGGTTGACTTTTGGAGGCATCCCCAAACCTAGGGGGTCCCCCCGGGCTCCCCAAGCTCCGCCGCCACCCCGCACCGGCATAGCCCACCCACCGGCCGCAGACCCAGATGGTAGGTGTTGCCCAGGCAGATGCGGCAGCCCAGCGCGTCCAGCTGCTCCGCCGTGATGCCCTTCATGGTGGCCTGCGTGCCCACCGGCATGAACACCGGCGTGGCCACCGGCCCGTGCGGCAGCCGCAGCTCGCCCGCCCGGGCCCTGGAGCGGCCGCACTCGGCCACCAGCCGCCAGATCCGCGGGGCGGACTCCAGGGAAGCAGGGCTGGCCGCCGCCGCCGCCATCTTGCCTGCCAGAACCACGTGGGCAGCCAGACACGCTGGGCCGCGCCATATTGGCCAGCGTCACGTGAGGCGTAAGGTTTGCGGAAGCCCTGGGGGAGCGTCACGGGGACCATGGCAACGGACGCCCCGCCCACTGGGCCTCTCAGGGCCTGGGGTTCGCTTTGCTGTCTGGTGCCCTGGCCGCTTGGTCAGTCCACCAAAAGGTTGCTGGTTCCATTCTCTGTCAGGGCACATATCTAGGTTGCGGGTTCAATCTCAAGGGGGAGGCAATAGATCATCAATGTTTCTCTCTCAATCAATCAATAAAATCAACCTTGTTTTTTTCAATAAAAGAAGAAATCCCAGATTTACAGAAGGGGAGCCTGAGATGCAGAATCTGGCCGCATCACTCATTCATTCATTCAATGTACACCTACATATACATCCCCACAAGTGCCAGCCTCCATTCTGCACAGGGATAAAAGAGGATGGGTCACGGGTTTATTAGGCACTGGCTGCGTTCTAATAATAATCCTATATAATAAAAGGCTAATATACAAATTGTTCGACCAGGAGTTCGACCACTCACTATGACATGTGCTGACCACCAGGGGATAGGGCAGAACATGGTGGGCATCCTGGCTCCCTGGCAGCAGGCGCAGAGGAGGCACTGCTGCCCTGACAGAGCTGGACCACAGCAGGCTGAGTGTGCAGCGCCAGGCCACTGCCAGGTCCCAGGTGGGGCTGCGAGGCTGTGGGCATGAGCTGGGGCCCGATCCCCACAGGCCACCCTGAGGGACCCACCTGTGCATTATTTTGTGCATCGGCCTCTAGTAGCAATATAAAATACTGTAGCCTAGCTGGTGTGCTCAGTGGTTGAGTATTAACCCATGCACCAAGAGGTCACTGGTTCGACTCCCCATCAGAGCACATGCCCAGGTTTGGAGCTCCATCGCCATGGGGGGCGGGGAAATGTACAGGAGGCAACACATCGACGTTTCTATTCCTGTCTTCCTTTCCCTTCCTCTCTCTCTGGAAAAAAAAACAACAACAAACAATAAAAATATATTTTAAAATAAAATACTATATATAATAATGACTATTATTGTTGTTGAAAATGGGGTTGATATCTGTCCTGGTCAGCAGAGGGCGCAATTACACCAGAATCTCTCTTAAAAGATCACTGGCCTAACTGGGCTGATCTGAACAAGAATGCAATCCTCCAGCAGCCTTGGGCTAATGATGCTGTTCCTCTGGTGGTGAAGAGTCCTCACTGAGGCCACATCCGGGTATCAACCACCCAGGAGGCCCACTTTGCTTTTGCCATTGTCTGCAACACTCTTCTGATTTTCCATATTTTCTGTCTGTTGTTCCCAACTCCCCAAATTTAAGAACCCTTCACCCCCAACACTCTATGTTACATGGCCTGTAGCTCATATGCTTTCGAAAACCTCTATGCACTGATGATACCCCAATTTTTATTCCTATCATCTGAATTCGCATCTCCTAACAGAGGCCTCCTTGACATCTCCTCTGAATATCTATAGGCATCCAAACTCTACCTGTCCAAGCAGGGCTCCTAAACATAATCCTATATGATAAAAGTGCAATATGCAAATTGTCCCAATGGCCATCCAGGATCACACTATGACACCCATTGATGCCAGGCCAGCCAGGTGGATGCGATGTGATTGCTTGGAGCCCCGGCCATCGCCACATGATCGCCCCACAGAAGGAGGCCCAGGCCACCATCCAGCTGGCTGCGGGAGGAGGGGGGAAGGGCAAGGGGAGAGGGTCCTGAGTGCTGGCAGCCTGAGGGAAACCCAGGTCCCAGGTGCCGAAGGGAAGTTAGGGAAAGGAAGGCCTACTCTTGCACAAATTTCATGCATCGGGCCCTCGTAATTAATAAATAGATAAACAAATAAACAAACAAAGCAGGGCTCTTTTTAAAAATATATAGATATAGATATAGATATAGATATAGATATAGATATAGATATAGATATATAGATATAGATATAGATATAGATTTTTTTTTTTTTACAGAGAGGAAGAGAGAGGGAAAGAGAGCTAGAAACATCGATGAGAGAGAAACATCGATCAGCTGCTTCCTGCATACCCCCTACCGGGGATGTGTTGGCAACCAAGGTACATGCCCCCGGGAATCGAACCCAGGACCCCTCAGTCCACAGGTCGACACTCCATCCACTGAGCCAAACTGTCATCTAATCCAGGCTTGCCTGTCCCTTTCCATCTTCCCCTTCTCAAGTAATAGCAGATTAAACCTTCCAGGAGTTCCGATAAAAACTTCAGGATGAACTTTGAACTCTCACTGTCTCTCGCTCCCTACAGCAAATGCTGGCTGCCTTGTTTTCAAAATCTAGCTAGCATCAACTGCTTCACATTGCCCTCCTCCTGGTCCAGACACCACCAGGATAACTGCAGTCATCTCCTCATTGTTTCAGCTCTGCCCTTGACTGCTTATGCTGTATACCTGTAGGCATTTTCCAACAAATGATTTCAACAATTCACCATTATGTAAGTTGTCTGCTGTATGTTTTTTGAAAATGCAGCATATTAAGTAAAGAAAGTCCTTTTCAATGCCTAGTTCACTCACAGATTTTTTATTATAAATAATATGTTTATCATACACTTTTCTGTATCTATTGAGATGATATAATGTCTCATTTAATTTAAAATGCCCAATGACATAAATTTTCTTTTCTTTTTTAAGAATACATTTTTATTGATTTCAGAGAGGAAGGGAGAGAGAGAGGGATAGAAACATCAATGTTGAGAGAGAATCATTGATTGGCTGTCTCATGAAAAACCACCACTGGGGACTGAGCCTACACCAGGGCATGTGCCCTTGACCAAAATCAAAACTGGGACCCTTTAGTCCACAGGCTGACACTGAGCCCAACCAGCAAGGGTTCTTTTCTAACTTGTTAATAAATTTTATGCCCTGACCAGTGTGGCTCAATGGATAGTGTCAGCTTGGGGACTGAAGGGTCCCAGGTTCGATTCCGGTCAAGGACATGTACCTTGGTTGCAGCACATCCCCAGTGTGTGGTGTTCAGGAGGCAGCGGATTGATGTTTCTCTCTCATGAATGTTGAGAATATCCCTACCAGGAAAACAGCATAAGCAAATGGATTTACAAGTAAGGTCAATAAAACATTCATAGATTATTTTAAAAAAATGTAAAATCTGCTCTGCTGGCATGGCTTAGTGAACCTATGAACCTGAAGGTCATGGTTTGATTCTGTCAAAAGCACATGCCAGGTTGTGGGCTCAGTTCCCAGTGGGGGCTATGAGGAGGCAGCCACTCAATGATTCACTCTCATCATTAATGTTTCTATTTCCCTCCCTCTCCCTTTCTCTCTGAAATCAATAAGAATATGTTGCTTTACTTAATATGCTGCATTTTCAAAAAATATGCATTTTCAAAACAGTAAGACAACTTACAAGGTCATGTATCTTGATTGCAGGCACATCCCCAGTTGGGGGTGTAGGAGGCAGCTGATCGATGTTTCTAACTCTCTCTCTCCCTTCCTCTCTGTAAGAAAATCAATAAAACATATTTTTTTAAAAGAAGAAGAAGAAGAAGAAGAAGAAGAAGAAGAAGAAGAAGAAGAAGAATCATCTGCTCCACTGGCATGGCTTAGTGGTTAAGCATTGACCTATGAGCCTGGAGGTCATGGTTTGATTCCCAGTCAGGGCATCTCACCCAAGCTGGTTTGGCTCAGTGGATAGAACTTCAGCCTGTGGCCTGAAGGGTCCTGGGTTCGATCCCCAGTAGGGGGCAAGCAGGAGGTAGCCAATCAATTATTTTATCTCATCACTGATGTTTCTATCCCTCCCTCTCCCTTCTTCTTCTGGAATCAATAAAAATATATATTTTTTAAAAAGTAAAATCTCAATCTGAGTGTTATTTCTTTTTATCTGTTTTTGTTTTTCTAGTGTGTTTAAAAAGTCATTTCTTTTTTTATTTTTTGCCAGTTTGCGATTTCACAGGCTGTATCTAATTGTGGACTTCTTTTAATTTATCCTGTCTTGGATTCCCTAAAATTCTTGTATCTGATTACTGGAGTCTTTCCATAATTTTGAAAAATTCTGTCCTATCTTTGAAGTGCTGCACTTACCTGCAATTGAGCCTTATACATAGCTGAGCACACGATGGGAAATGCTGGCTTGCAGCCCCTCCTGAGAAGATGGCCCTTTGATTGCTGGGGATAGCACACCCTATTGCACCAGTCTGGCATGGATTTTCCATCTCACTGAACTGGCGGAAGGGAGGTAGACAATATCCAATACCACCGATTCTCACTATTCTGACCAAATTTTCTTAATAGAATTTTCCTTATTGGATATATGGCCTTAGGACTATTTCCAGAGACTTTATTTATTTTAATCGTCACCTGAGGATCTGTATATTGAATTTTAGAGAGAAGAAGGGGGAGAGAGAGGTGAGAGAGAAGAGAAACATCTATCAGCTGCCTCCTGTGCTTGCCTCCATTTGGAATTGAACCCACAACTTAGGTATATACCATGACCAGGAATCCAATCCGAAAACCTCTGGTGCATGGGACAACTGAGCCACCAAGCCAGGGTGCCTATTAATATATGTTTAAGTTATTTGCCATTGAAAATACAAAATACATTTGCAGTGTATGTACATATCAAGTCATTATGTTGTATACCTAAAACTAATACAAATGTTACCTGTCAATTATACTATATAATAAAAGGCTAATATGCAAATCGACTGAAGGGCAGAACAACTGGTTGCTATGACACGCACTAACCACCAGCAGGCAAAGGCTCAATGCAGGAGCTGCCCTCTGATGATCAGTGTGCTCCCACAGGGGGAGTGCCACTCAGCCAGAAGCCGTGCTTAGACTGGCACACAGAGTGGCGAACCTTCGAGGAAGCGCTAAGAAAATCTGACTGAGCCGGCCTGAGCCGTCATTCAGACATACCCTGGGGCTCCCAGACTGTGACAGGATACAGGCTGGTCTG